ACTACGCTGTGGGATACTTACTATTAGTGAATACTATTATGATATTGTGATGAGTGACCACTGTTTATATTGTTATTGAGCATTACGTGGTGGGACACTCATCAGTAGTAGATACTGTTATAATATTGCCTGCTACGCGATGGGACACTCATCGGTAGTAAGGAAAGTGATGCCGACATATTTCCTAACTCTCATAATGAGAGGAACGGGTTAGGGGAGAGGATAAAGGGTCGCACCCTAGATTCGTGAAATGAAATGAGATGAGATATACGATTTATGCCTTGCAAGGTAATGGCCTATCGAACCCCCAATGCACACTGGGGACCATATGCGTGTGTTGAGAGTATTATGAAGTGGATTGCCCCACTTGTCATTACCCTCCCTCATATGTGATGGTAGAGGTTCTAAGCAATGAGATTGGTTTAGCTTGCTGAATAAGACCTCTACTACGGGAGTAGGTGGTTTAGGGAGTGAGTGGGTAATGGTCAAATTTCTAAATAAGGAATGTTTTATGATTGTATTGATTGAATGTTAATGATTACACTGATTGAATGTTCACAATCGCACTGATTTAATGCTAACTGCCATTTAAATGAAATGTTCACATTCACTGTCTTGACTAGATATTCATATATGCTAAACTATGACTCCATATTGATGGATTGAACTCTTTTTTTGCATGAATATAATTGCTATAGATGCATAACACTAGACCTGTTTACTAGGCTTTCGAGCTCATTCCACTATTTTCTCTTTCTCCTTCTTGTAGACTGAGAGCAACAAGACTTGAGTTAGGAGCATAGGTTGCAGTGGGGGAGTCAAAGTAACCACCTCGAGAAGGAGTTAGTGCATGTATGTAGTCGGGCTCTTAGCCCTGTTTGTAATGGTTTTATGAAAACTCTGTAATCACGAGCCTCGGTGCCTCGAACGTTATTGTAGAAATTTTGGAGAGGAGTATAATGTAATAAATTACATTATTGGGTTTGCCAAGTTTTTTTTAAATTGTATGTAGTTATTTCCATGGTTTTGCTCGATTACTAAAATTAAAGGCGTCATGTCCACTCCTACATGAGTGACTGATGTTACATTGGTATCACGAACCCGTGCTCGATCGCTTGTCGCCGTGTAAGGTACAGTGATGGGGGGCAGGACCGTGACATCTGAGTATCGACAAATAGCATTTACCTATCATGGACCGCAAAGGACCACCCTCCCACTGAGTTTATGTTCCACTATATCATATATTGGTTATAAGCTCTCATAAGGCCTTTAATGGCTATATAAACCAACATTCGAGCACACAGAATTTGAGGCCTAAGAGATCAATGTTAATAACCTGACATGGTGGAGACAATACCTATTTTGATTGACACAATTTATATGTTGGGGTACTCTTTATGTGTACACCATGTGCAAGATCTGGTAGGAGCTATCCCTCTTGAGCCATTTCTTATTTCTTGGTAAATCTAAATCTTTGCAATGCCACGGTGATGGTAGGGCTAGCAACTAGCCAAGCATGGGATGGGCCAACCTTGGCGCTGGCCCTAGTCCTGGTCCCTATAGGGCATGGTCGATCTTGGCCTAGCCATGGTCCTTGTAGGGTAGGCTCAAGCTTGGCCAGACCCAGGCCGGTGGGAATAGGTCGGATCTGGTCTAGGTCAACCTCGACCACGATTCTTTTGTAGGTGGATTGAGACTCAGACCTGAACCCGGAGCCAGACCCGATTGGGTCCAGGGATATCCAACCCAGAGCTGACCCAATGCTAGGAAGACCCAAACCCGCTCCTACTTACATTTATATTTAATTTAGATGAAACAAAACAAATCATTTGGAAAAATAAAAAATGTGAGTATGATCTATAATTTATTGCACCATATGAAGTCATATATTATAATGCTAACTTCTTATTATTCGAGCTCACGCTTGACCAAGAAGCCACGCTCCACAACAAACCGACGCTCCCCTAACTCCTTTTATATATTGTTGACACATCCCTTACCATCCTCACTTTTTACATTTAAATAGGGCCTTCAAACACACTAACAAAATATACGACACGAGACTAAAAATTCACTTCCTCTTTTTTCTTTGAGGTTCAAAAAACGTGCATCATTTCTTAGGGTTAGAATGATCCAATTTTGAGGCCACGATAATAGTTGGGAGAGAGAAGGGTGCAGTTGGTATATGGATACATCACTAACTGTAGAGATAAGGTGCACCTTCAAATTCTATCATGGTATATAACTTTGATGTAAAATGTTTTTAGGATTATTTTAAAATCTATTTTTATATCTAATTATAAAATTTTAAATTTTAAAAATGGTTAAAATTAAGTAGATCTATTTATGAAAATCTTGAAAATGGACAGTGTAGATAACATGTTGTAAAATGCACTATGTCTGAGATGTAAAATCTTTTTATTTTTTATGTCATACATCTCGATGTCGAGATGATCAATCAAAGGATTTTTCAACATTAAAACTACCTTTTCCGATGGATTTTTGAGGCATAGTTCTACATTATAAGGTTACATCCTTATATAAACCTTTTCCGAGAGAGAATGACGCTCATAATTCAAAGAGCACATGAGAAGGAATTCATGTATACGGGAAAATAGAGAGTTTAGAAGAGAAATTTCAGTCCTACATTGTTTAAGTAGCGAAAATAGGGTGGGTTGGATAAGGCTAATAGTTACTAGCATTTTAGTCCTGCATTGCTCAATTAGTGAAAGAGGATAGGTCGGTGAGTCTGTTAAAGAGGTTAATTAGTGAAATAGGATAGGTGGGTGAGTCTGTTAAAGTGAAATGGTTAAAGAGAGAGTATAACAGTATATTCCATGTTATTGTATTTTACATAATACAATGGGAAAGTATAGAATGAGATCATTTACCATTAATACAAGGTGATCACATTAATCTTTCATTTACTATTAATACAAGGTGATCACATTAATCTTTCATTTATCATTAATACAAGGTGATCACATTAATCTTGACCATTGGATGTGAAATTGGGTGGTTGCAATTATTCCATTGACCAAGCTCAAACTTCAAAAGAAATTTTCTCAAACTTTGTGACACATTCATGCTATCAAATTTCACATCAATTGGTTATAAAAAATTCTGACCATTTGTATAAAAGATAAATAGTCTCATTATATACAATTCCTAATACTATTATAGAGAATCTAACATATAAAATAAAAAAAATTGCTTCATACGGGATGGACTGTATTTTTACAATATGCGGTCCCAAGGTATAAAGCATCAATTTTAAAGATGGATGCAAATATGTGATACATCTAAAAGCTATTGAAATTAACGGTCTAAATATTTTTTTAATAGAATTACTATTTCTAATTTTCAAAATTTATTTATTTATTCATAATCATGACCTCTATGCTAGAGATTGGATGCCCTTAAAAATTAAGTCCAACAATCCATCTCAAAAATAGATTTTTATGAGGTGACTATGTCTACATGGACTTAGAGAAACTGTATCTATAAATTAATGTATAATATATTTTATACTATATTTATCTAGGTTGGGTCAGACCTGGACCTAAACCCAGACCTAACCCAAAAATTGGTGGGTCCACTCTTTTGCACCCGGACCCTAGTCTGTGGATCCTAAAAGGGGACCGAAACACAGACCCACGTTGGGTCGATCGGACCCAATTCCCAACCCCTACACGTAAAGCTCTAGGAAGTCCTTGCTCCTCAATTTTTGATAAGCGGGAACTTCTGCTCCCAAAACCTTTATAGGAATTCCCAGCGTTTTAAAAAACGCCGAGTCGAACCGGACTCGCCCGGTTCGATTCGGAATTCGTGAAAAGGGACCGGATCGGTTGAAAAATCGGAAATCGTCCGGTTCTAGAGAGAACCGGACGATTCCGCACAGTGACTCGCCGATTCACAGTACGGAATCGGCGAGTCCGAACAGTGAATCGGCCAGTCCGTACGGTTTTTTTTTTTGTTTTGTAA